GGCCGTGCTCAAAACTGGATGCAGTACTCCAACTGCAGCCTGACCAGTGCTGCATAGAGGGGAAGCGTCACCTCCCTGGACCTGTTCATCATGCCTCTGCTAATGCATGATAAAGTGCAGTTAGCCTTTTTGATCGCTTTGTCACATAGACGACTCATGTTCATCTTGGAGTCCACTATGACTCCAAGGTCCCTTTCCACTGCTGTGCTGCTGAGAAGGTCATCCCCCAGCCTGTAAGTATGTTGGTGTTACCCAGGTGCAGCACTTCGCACTTGTCTTTGTTGAACTACATCCTATTTCGTTCTGCCCATTTTTCCAAATTGTCCAGATCCACCTGGATCCATTCCCTACGCTCTGGTGTGTTAACTTTGCCCCATAATTTGGTATCATCTGTGAATTTGGACAGGGTGCTTTCCACGTCTTTGTCCAAGTCATTGATGAAGACATTGAATAGCACCAAGGACTGAGCCTTGAGGAACTCCACTGCCCACATCTTTCTAGGTTTATATCGACCTGTCCACCACCACTCTCTCAGTTTAACCCCTAAGCCAATTTGCCACCCACCTGACCTTGTAATCATTTACATCACAGCCTGTTAATTTATTTATAAAAACAGAATGCAATACTGTATCGAAGGCCTTCTTAAAGTCTAGGTAGATGACATCTACCTCGACTCCTGCATCTAAGCATTTTGTGACCTGGTCATAGAAAGAAATAAGGTTAGTCAGGCAGGATCTACCTGCAATGAACCTGTTCTGATTTCCTTTCAGCATTATTTCCCCTTCTGGGCTCCCACAAATGTGATCCTTGATGATTTTTTCCAGGGTTTTCCCAAGGATGGAGGTGAGACTAACTGGCCTATAGTTTCTTGGTTCATCCCTCCTCCCTTTCTTGAAAATAGGGACCACATTGGCCTTTTTCCTGTCCTGGCATGATATGCTACACACCAACTTTGTTAAGTGACACCTGACACTTGTCTGTGCCCTGAAGGTGTCAGAATTGTCCCTAGGGCAGGCACAAATACAAGCAACTGCCCTGGGCACAATGCTTTGGGGACCTTGCAGAGACAGGTGGAGCAGACAAACTCCTCAGCACTGCTGTCAGCCTTGCATCTGGATGCTCACAAACTCCCCTCCCACACTGCCGCCACTGTGGTATGCAGGATCAGTTCTGCATGGGGAAGGGCTAATTTGCCCATGGCCTCCCACATGGACCCTGGACAAAACGCCTTCTGCGGCAGTTTTGATGGTGGGGAAGGAGGGGAGTCGAACAGCGCAGAGTGGTGACACCCTCTTCGCACCGCTGTCAGTGCGCCACTGCCCTGCACTCTGATAGGGTCATCTCTGGTTGGAGGAGGGGGGTGCACTGTTTAGTTTCAATTTATTATAAACAGGGCTGATGGAATTTAATGGGTGTGAAGGAAGGTACACAAAGCACCAATCAAATTGTGATGCTCAATTTATCCTCCCTTCACTCCGGTTTTTAGATCCCCTTCCACTGCTAGCCATAAGTTGATCGATCCCTGTTGGTGTAACAAGAGGCAGAAAGAGAAAGAAAAAAAGAGAAGATGAAGAGGATGACAACAGTTCCTTCAGGATTCTCTCAACAACTGAACTATGATGTATTATAATTATAGTTGACTTTCATCCTGACTTATATAGACTTCTAATATAATAACAGGAGTCAATAACTAATACTAATAATGGGAGTCAATAATACTATTAATTCCAATAGTAATATATTAATAAGAGTTTGTAGTAATAGTAATATTAATGATGATTTGTTAATGGACAATTAATTATTAATGGGAACAGTTCAATTCCTTATCACAGCATTTCAAAGCAGGTAGATCTGCCTTATCACCCTGCACATATCACACACATCCTGGGTCTCCACCATGTATATATAGCCAATGTATGATATATGTTATATCAAGTCTATGTTATATAGACAAGTTTATGTTCTATAGACTTATAATTAATGTTTGATTACTTACGATGAGAAAGCAGATACTGAACGCAAGGCAGGTGATTATGTGCCCTCCCTGCCTCTTTCCCCGCGGCGGCGGGGGCAGGGAAATGCCCACCTCCTGGTTCTAGCTCCTCCCTAGGTCCCTCTATTCCCATGGAGAAGAAATATATACCCATCTGCATTAGATGCAACCGTTACTGACCTTGCATTACTTCCTCCTCCTGCTTGCTGGCCCCAAGTACTGCTGAGGTTTTTCTTCAGTGTACTATTTGAATTATGGAGCCTTTCTTCACAGGCTTTGGCCCAAGCATCAGCTCAAGTTTGGTAAGAGTTGCACAAGTTCTGCAGATTCATTTATTATTCTAGCCCTCCTCCTGGTTGCTGGTCCTGTTTGCTAATGAATGTATTATGGAATTGTAATTAGAGGATTGTTGCAGGCCACAAATGTAGAGGCCTTCTTCTTGGTTGCTGGCAAAGACTTCCAGCAAATTCCCTCCTGGGGTCCAGGTAGCAGGACCAAGCCTGTGGGCTCTTTGCCCCATCTGCCCACCTCTGCGTTGCACCCTTGTAACTTTTGAATTGTTGCTGGCCACAAAGGAAGTTGTGCTCCTGAGTGTGACCACTGCAGTGGCAGAAACTGAGGCTTCTTCACTGGCTTTGGCCCAAGCATCAGCTCAATTTGTACAAGCTCTGCAGGCCCACTTCATATAGTCTTCTCGCCCTCCTCCTGACTACTGGCCATGTCTTCTGACACCCACCCACCACTCTGTCTCCTGGAGGTTTCTGTCTCCTTGAGTTTCTTCTGACTTGCGAAAGGAAGGAAGACTTTAAATAAATAGGATAACAGAAAGTAGAAACTAGAAAGCCTCCCCCCCTGACCTGAGGGGATCCCTCCCTCAGCTTTGTGGCCAGCAAAGATTTCAAAGTTACAATGCAACAGAGAGTAGCATGGCCTGACTCCACCAGCCAGCTGTGTCAGGCTATTCATCTCCACCTGCAGGGGCCCCTAGGGGACCATACCTGGGGGCCCCCCCCTTGACCCAGATGTCTTCCTGCTGGGACATGTTCAGTAATCAGGAGTGGGGTGCAGGATGCCCACCTCCCTCTCCCCC